TAATTGTGGCTTTGTGTGATGTAGGGTTGAAGGATGACTCGTCTTGTAATCTGTCGCTGTGTTTTGGTTTCCAGTAAATTGTCGTCCATAGTGAGTTGTTGTCACGGCTTGCCAGACAGTATAGAAAAGGAAGTTTGCCATTGTCTTCTACTTCTCTGATGAACTGTTTGTTGGAGTTTTGTCCATTAAGGTGGTGGTGGAATGGATCAATTTCGTAGTCGTATGGCGGTGAATTTTTCTTCAATGTAGCGTTACCAAAGTGGTATCGTTTGTGGGCAGGTCGAAAAGGGCCCGTCGACTTACCCACAAACGATACCCTTTGGTGACGCTACATAAACGACACATTCACTGACTTATGACACGACAAAATCGACACATTCCACCACTACCTTGACGGACAAAACACGGACGTACAGTTTACCAGAGAAGTCGAAGACAATGGCAAACTTCCTTTTCTACACTGTCTGGTAAGCCGTGACAACAACTCACTATGGACGACAATTTACTGGAAACCAAAACACAGCGACAGATTACAAGACGAGTCATCCTTCAACCCTACATCACACAAAGCCACAATTACGAGAACTCTCACACGATGTGTGCAACTAGTATGCAACACGACACACAGCTTATCCAACGAGAACAAATACCTTACCCGCGTTTTTTCAAGGAACAACTACAACGGCAACCTCATCCGATGAAACACTCACCTACCTACTACTACTACCAAAACAAACAACGCCGCAACTCCTATGACTACAGCAACCATACCATACGTAAAAAGCATGTCTGAGAGCATCTTCCGCATTTTACAACCCTTCAATATCCGCGTCGCCCACAAACCCATTATCACACTACGTCAGTTACTGACCAACGTTAAAGAAAAGGATGAACTAAGGAACAGACAGGGAGCGATTTATGAGATGAATTGCTCCGACTGCCAAGCCTCCTATATCAGAGAAACTGGCAGAAACCTCGCAACAAGACTGACTGAACACAGAGGGGCCACGAGGAAAGGTGATGCCAACAATCACATTGCTGAACATCATCGAGTTACAAACCACAATATTGACTGGGACTCTTGCAATGCCTAAGCTACAGCACTAACTACTTTCAACGACTGACTCTGGAAAGCTTCTTTACTAAGTTAGAACAGACTCTCCTAAACAGGTGTCAACTACTACCGGCTCCATACACACGACTTATTCACGGCATTAACATTACAAATGAACCGAACAGAACCACCTAACTTTACCGATGGATCAAAACAGACCAATCACAACCAACTTACGCCACTTGAGTCTTACAACCAATAACATGATGGCAAAACTGACCAATCATTTTACATAAACTGGACAAGGAACATTCTACTGACAACTATTCACTTGACTCTGATGATGACTTCTGCACAGATTGTCAGAGAGTCAGTCACCACCACTGACAACAGTCATTCTCAGGACCACACTTACCCGGACGATCACACTACACTTTCACATGTTACCCCCAGGTTCAAACCATTTATTGCATATTATTTCTAATGGTATCTTGACTAA